CTTTTATTGTTCTCTCAGCTAATTCGTTGGCCTTAATGATGGCAGTTTCTCTCCTTTGTTAAGTTAAAGTACAGCCCCCTCTGCTAGAACCTCTCGTGTCACCTTGTGTCCACAGGGTCACCTTCTCTGTGCTGGTCCTGTGGCCGCCCCGGGGCCAGCACATGTCCCCATGGTCTTTACTTCCACTTCCAGATCTTCATGTTTTATGAAATCCCCGTGATGTTTTTTTGATAAACAGAAGCATAAATAAGGAAAATCACGAGAACATTTATGGTGAGGTTGCTTAATAACACCCTCATCCTCACCGGGATATAACTGGATACGGCACATGCAGCCCAATTCAAACAGCTGGGGAACTTGCTAGAATTTTGACCGGACTTCCCCTGCCTTATGCCGCCAAGCCTGGGCTACAGAAAATCATCAGTGTTTTCATGAAACCCACTTTGCTCAAACCCCACAACAAAGTCTGATCTTCCTTCACCTTTGTTCTTTCCAGTCTGATGAGATAAACAAAAACCATTAACCTGTCTTCAGCGTTGAACGTTGTCTCTTGAGTTAATTATTAAGATGATTTGGCAGGACAGCACCGAGCTTTCTGGGCAGTGAAGCCCTGTTTCAGGAAACTCGAGTTTTACACGGGGTCCGTGGCTGGCCTTGGTTCCGTAGGGAGGTTCAGCCTAGACGTGATGCCCACCTGTTCCTCTCGCTGGGGGGGCGCCTGCCTGGCCCCCCAGCTTTCCGGCCTCACGGTGCAGCCGACAGCTTCGGCTGCAGTGAGAGAAGCAGGAACTCCAGGAGTCCCCTAAGCCTTGGCTGGTTTCGGAGCGTCCACCAGAGACCCCTCACTGGTTGGGGTCTCTTTGCCAGAGGTCGGTGAGCCCCTTTCAGTCTCGTCGGCCACACAACCTGGTGGCCTGACCCTGACCCCAGCTCTGCGTGATGCATGCTACCTGTAGCAGGGGCCTCCCACTGATGGGCGCGACAAGAGCTGCAGGTGCAGAGTCAGGCCGCTTGGGGGTGGGGAGGCATCAGGGCTGCGGCCGGAGACCTCAGGACACTAGGTCAGGATGCTCTGAGGGCCAGGCTGGCCCAGGACCTCATCCACTCAACAAAGACCCTCCCCGAGGAGGGAGCCTGCCCCAGCGAGACACCCCCATACCTGGGAGGGGATCCACATCTGCCTGAACATCCCACCCGCCCTCCACAGGGTCATGAGGGTCAGGCCAGACTCCCCCAGGGGCAGCCGGCAGGATGCCATGGAGCTCTCTAGGCCCTAAGGACCCTCACCCCACACACGGAGCACGCCCCTTTGCCCCACCGGAGCACTCACCTGAGGGAGCCCAGGAGGCTGCCGTTCAGCTTCAGCTGGTTCAGGTTGGGCAGGTGCACCCCTGTGGGCCGCAGCAGGGAGGTTCATTCACACCCTGCCCAGGCATCAGTGCCCTTTGGCCCCCGGGCTGCTCCAGGGCCCCAGAGGCCCCGTGTCTGCAGCACGGCCCAAATGAAGCAGGGTGTGGAAGGCACCCAGTGGCAGGGCAGCACGGCTGTCCCTGAAGCCCGTGAGGACACTGGACTGCAGGTGTCAGCTTGGGGGCGGGGGCAGGCTGGCACGGGTGTGGCCCCCTTGGGCCTGAAGCCTGGGCCCTGCCCCTGAGCTGCGTCCCACGAGCACCCCGTCCCCGGGCAGCATGGCTGCCAAGTCACACCAGCCAGTGTCTCTGTGTGGCCCAAAGCCCCAGGGAAAGGCTCTGAGTTCTGAGTCCTTTGAAGGTTGGGGCACTGGCCCTATGAGACGGAGCCCCTGGACGGGGAAAGGAAGAGGCACAGGGCGGCTGTGGGGTGAGGTGGCCCGGGGACCAGGCCTGACGGGAAGGGCTCGAATGACCTCATGGGCGCACAGAGTGGCCAAATTAAGTGGTCAAAGACTGAACAGCAATTGCAAAACAGAAAACAAGACCAACCAAGATGGCCTGTTTAACCTCACTCGTAATCAGAGAAACGCAAACAGCCCACAGTGACCCTGGACAGGAAGGATCCTCCCTGCCGCAAAGGACACTGTCGGGAAGGGTGGCGAAAGAGGAACGAGGTCTGCGGCGCGGGCGCGCCCTGCGTTGGTGGAGTGTCCTGACCCGGACGGTCGCACTGAGCGTTTGGGAGAACGTCTGCCCTCTCTGGAAAGACCCGCTGACGTGTCAGTGCACAGAGGGCCTCGTGTCTGCAACTCTCGAGTAGCTCAGGAAGTGACAGTTGTCAGAGAGAGGCGGGGGGAGAGAGAGAGAACGAACGGTGGTGGCGTGGCACTTGTGCGCGATGGACTCTGGTGACAGGGCCTTGCGAGTCCTTTGCGCTGCTCTACAGCGTTTCTGTACGTTCAGAACTATTTCAAAACAGGTTTTGGGAGTGCCTCATTTTGAGATGTCACGTTCAGGGGTCAATCGTCAGGAAACAGACACATGGCCCCGAGATGTGCCGGCAGCATTCTTTCTAGAACCAGAAAGACGTGGGTTGTTCCACGGGAGCCTGGGGTGGCAGTGGTGGGCTGTGGGTGGGGGCTCACCGAAGTTCCCCAGGCTGCCCTCACGGGTGTCCACGCACATCTCCAGCACCCGCACCAGCTGCAGGTCGTCCACCCGGGCCAGGGCCTGCTGCAGAAACCAGCTGGGGGTCAGCCCTGGGCCCGGCCGTCAACCCTCCCGGGCAGGTCCAGCCTCCATGGGAGCAGATGGAGGATTCCCTGCCTCATCCACATTGGCCTCGGCCGTGGACGGTGTGGCTGGCGGACTCTGAGTGCATGGGACGTGAGCAGAGATTGTAGCCGCGCTTGGTTGGTGGGGCCACTGCCAGAGAAGGACCTGGCTTGGGGCTGCCAGTCTCCAAAAGAGACTCACAGAGCAGACCCATTGTGCCCGGAGCCTGGAGCCAGCCCCCGTGGACGGCGCTGAGCCCGCAGGACCGTGCGACAGGCACACCCACGCAGCAACCCCTGGTGTGGAGCCTGCCGCTCTGTTTGCCTGCCTGGGCCTCCGGGAGAAGTCCTCCGGCGTGTGTGAAATGCAAACATTTTCTGCCAGGATCTGCCCCCCTACCTCCCCATCAGCGGAAACTTTGCTGGGCCGTGGGAACAAAGTGGCTGGTGGGGCTGTTCACTCGGAGGGAGGGCCTGGGCAGCGTGGGCACCCGACGGGGTCCTCTCCCCCAGAGCAGCCGCAGGTGGGCAGGCGGGGCCCCGACGCGGGAGGTGCAGGGTTGTCCCAGGCGGGCACCTGCAGTTAAGAGGGCTCTGTAGCACCTCCCGGGCAGCAGGGTCAGGGTGGGGGGAACAGGAGCTCCCTCACCAGATTTGGGAGAAAGCCCTTGCCTGCAGCCCAGACATGGTCAGTGCCAACTGAGTACGGCCCCACCCTGGCCTAAGGGCCTGGTGAGTGGGGGGCATGGGGGGCAGGAGCCCCTGGCCCAGGGAGGGGCTGGATCCAGACCCTGCTGGTGGGAGGCACAGGGGGGCCCTGCAGGCCTGGGCTCCTTCCTCGCTGGAGGTTTCCTTCCTCCCCCGGCACTTGGTGATTCTGTGGCCCTGAGCCTCCACGGTTGGCACCCTGCAGAGAAGGGCCTCGCTCTGGTTTGAGGACCGTGTGCTCAGCAGACACTTGTGGGATCCTGGCCTGGCTCAATCCTGTCTGTGCCCAAATGCCTGGGGACATCTGTGCCCCCAAGAACCTGGGGCTGCTGGTGCTTTGGGGCCTGGGCTGAGGGTGGCCCCAAGGACACCAGGTGTGGTGGGGGCTGAGGACAGACTGGATGTCACTCCTCACAGGCACTTACCAGTCGGGCAGGGGACAGGTGATGCTCCACCAGCTGCTCTCTGCGGCTGCCCCCGTGGCTGCCCGGGCCCTTGCTTTGCGGGCAGGGGTTGCGCAGGCCCTGCCAGCTCAGCTCCCGTACTCGGATGCTGGCCGTGCTCGTGCTCAGCCGAGGCCCCCGGGAACTGTCCCAGGCTGGGTCCATTCACGACTAACCTGGCGACAGAGGCAGAGGACAAAGCCCCTGAGCGTTTGCTCCTCCTCTGCTCTGTGCCCAGCCGAGACCCCGGCCCAGCTCTCAGCCAGCATGCCCCCGCACACAGCAGCCCGCTGGGACCCACCCCCGAGCCCAGAGAAGGTGCCTGGCCTAGCCCGATGGCACTCTTGTCTGCTTAGCTCAGCCCGGAGGGCCTCATGGCCCCACAGCCTTGGCTGGGACCCCTCTGCCTGGGCAGCATATCTCCCCGGGTTTCTCCCCATCCTTCAGCAGCGCTGGCTCCAGGCCTCCTCCTCTGAGGCCCCACAAGGGCTGGGAGCTGGGGGTGCTGGGCTGGCCACCTGCAGTGACCAGGAGCAAGCTGCTGCTGGTGGGCTCCCTGGGCTGCGGGTCCTTCTCCACCCGATGGTCTCCGAGCCTAGCATAGCCCAGGCACTCCCACCGCTGCGCCAGCTGAGCCCCTCACCCGCAGGCAGCTGCCTTCTCCTGCTGTGGGTCAAACATCTGGGCAAAGAGGCGGCATGTGTCCCCAGGTGGTACCTGCAAGAGAGAGTCAGGTTGCTCTCTTGGCCAGGTCACTGTGCCACTGTGCCTCGGATAGGCCACACTGAGGTCACAGCACTCAGAAGTGAGCAAGTACAACAGTGGGTGGTCGGGGGCTGTCCTTCTGGGGCCTGACCATCCTGACTAGGGACTCAGTCCAGCTGACGAGGAAGGAGACAGAGCCAGGTGTGGGACCAACGCTGGGTCCTCTGGGTCCCCCCTGGTGCTGATCCAAAGCCTGCTTCCCTCTGTCTTTGAAAGGGGTCTGGGATCTGCTATTCCTACCACCTCCATGGACCTGGTCTCTCCGGCACCTCTGTCCCTCCAGAGCCCCTCCCTAGGCCTCTGGAGGAGGTTGTCCAGTGTGTCCCTGGGCCACCTGCAACAGGCTCATCTGGTGTTGGTCCTTAAAGACAAAGATGTTCGCACCTGGCCCTAGACCCTGGCATCACGATCCCTGGGGGAGGAGCCAGAAGTCCACGCTGAAAATCCAGCACTCTCCTCCCTAACCCCCTCCTCCATCCTCAGGCTGGGCCCCTGCCCCCCTCCCTCCTGCACCCCTCCCTTCCCAGATCTCTTTTCCAGATCAGACTGAGCCTGGTCCACCGCCCCCCGGGTCTCACGCATGTGGGGTTGAACACGTGCCCCACCCCGCCAGGTGTGGGCTGCCTGTGAGCAGGGCGCTAGCCTGCCAAGCACGGTTGCAGGAGGGGCCCTGGAATGGAGCAGAAGCACTTGTCACCACTTAGAGCGTCCGGGCCTCGCTCCCGGGCCAGGGGAGAGCATCAGCTGGGTTTGACAGAGGTCGTGGCGGGGAGCGATGGCCCCTGGACAAGCCACTCGAGACCTGTGCCTCAGCGGCCTGGTCCGGAAAGTGACCCATGCACGGGACCAAAGGAAGTTAAGGCCCAAGGTGGAGTCTCGTGGAGTTTCCAGCCAGGGTCTCCCCCGCTGCCCACCTGTCTCCAACCAGTGCAAGGCCCCCAGCCTCACCAGAGAACCCCGCCACGGTGACCCCAGGAAGGTGCTGGCCACTTCCACCCCAGGCCTGCCAACCTCAGAGGGGATGTGAGCTGGTCGGGGTGACGGGTAGCCCCTGGATGCCCACCCCCTGGCTGCCCCCCCTGCCTGAGAGCAGCTGGGCCCACAACATCACAGTGGTCTGAGCCCAAAGACCCTGGGGTCCAAGGACCTGGGGTTGGAAGCTGCGTGCACCACATCCCCCATCAGTCTCCCCCAGACACTGCCCCTGGGGTCCACAGCCTGGCCTGGGCCCGTCTGCACACTGCTCGGCCCTGCTCCCACCTGGAATGCCCTGCTTTGTCTCCCCCAGGAGCAGGGTTTGGGCCTCTCCCAGGCTCAGCCCCTCAGAGCAGGCGGGGTTGTAGGTAAGGTCCCCAGGGGGCCAGACCTGACACTTGGGGCCAGTCCTGGCCTCCCACTGGCTCCGCCACTCCGTCCCCACGCTGGCCCAGGTCCCCCCGCACGAGGGAGAGGTTGAGGCCTGCGGCCCGACCTGAGGGTGCGGTCGGCCCTCACCTGCGGGTGCGGCCCGGGGTCCACCCGGGTCCGGCCCTGGGGACTGCGCCGCAGCCCGGCGCTCTCTCCGACGCAGGGCTGTTCTTCCGGCCGCGGGGATGCGGGCCTGGGTGCCATGGCAACGTGGGCGGGGCCTTATTTGAATGCCCAAATATTCATAAGCTTGGGACTCTCCTCCCGGCGGGGCTGAGCCACGCCCCTTAGCAACGGTTGCGAGGGAGGGAAGCTGGGGGGGTCCCGGCGCCAGCGGCCGGGGAGGGGCGCGCTGTGTCGTGAGCCACGTGCCGCGTGTCCCCGCGGCCCCGGCGCAGTTTTCCGGAGGGGAGGGTCGCCCGGGACCCGCGCCTGCGGCAGCGACCTCCACCCGGGCCCCGAGGCAGCGCAGGCAGGGAAACGCAGCCCGACGCCGGGCGGGTGCAGCGCCTGCCGGGGAGCACGACCCACTGCGCTCGCCTCTTGGACGCCCGAGCCAGCTGCGAGCCGGATGCTGCGACGGGACCGGCACCCGGCCAGCGGCGGACAGAGCCCGGCCGCCGCGCGCGTCTCTGAACGGGGGCTGCATTCGCGCCACTCTGGCGTCTGGGACGTTTGCGACGCGCCTTCGCGAGCGCGGGGAGACAGGCTCGCGTGTTCGCTCTCGGCCGGGGGCGGGTTCCACCTCAACCGCGGGCGGGACCCGCGGGCCGGTTTGCCCACCGGGCCGGGTCGGAACCTGCGTCCGGGAGCAGCGGGTGGGGTGGCCTGCCCGGCCGCCCGAGCTGGGGGAGCTAGGGGAGGGGCCGCAGGCCGCGCGCGGGCTGGGGGGCGAGGAGCGGCCGAAGGCGCCCGGCACTGCCCGCCGCCTGGGACCCCGCCGGAACTGCGGGGCGTCTGGGGTGCGGTGCGGTGCGTGGGCACCCGGGCCAGGCCGCTCTGCCTTCTTTACCCCTGCAGGGAACGGGGGGCAGCAGGGCGGCCGGCCCCGGCAGCCACCTGGTGGTCTGCAGCCCCGGGCGTCCGGCCCGCGACCCAACGGACCCTCAGCTATCCGCGGCGTCCAGGCGAGGGCGTCCGCTCGGATCTGCGCTGCGCGACCCCGCCCGGGGAGGCCGGGGGCGCGGGCGCGGTCATGCAGGGCTCCCGAGCCGGCCTGGCGAGTCCGGCCAGTTCCCAGGGCAGTTCTGGGCCTCGCCGGAAGAAGCCCCGGTCCGGTCCCGCGGCACCTGCCCGGCGCTCTACTGGCGCACCCCCGAGCTCTGTCCCCGCCCCAGCGGGCCAGCCCCGCCCGGCCGCGGCTCCGACTGACGGGCCGCTCAGCCAACCGGAGCGGGGCGGGGCGGGGCGGCCCCGGGGCGGGGCCTGGCCGAAAGCGGCCAGTGGGAGGCCG